CATTTGGCACATTTATTTAGTTTACATTTCCATGACTGATGTGTATTTCTGAAGCAATTTAAACATAATTTTAAACTTTTTATTGATTCAATTTTTTGTTGAGTAGATAGTTTCAAAAATGAATCACATTTAAAAATACTGTGATCTTTTGAACAATAATAACATTTTAATTTACTATCTGAAGCTAGTAAACCATGACTACGACTCCTTTTACCCTTGTTATCAAGACTTTCCAAGCCAGTGGCCTCTATTTTCTCTAATATATCACATTTATTTTTAAGAAAGCCATTCAAATCTTGTAACGAAGGTAGGTCGTTCTGGTATTTATAATTTTCCCACTCCCGACGAGTAACAGCATCAAATTTATTTGCTAAAATATAGATGATTAACCTATCCCATGAATCAGTATTTTCTCCTAAACTTTTTAGAGAACGTAAGTGTTTTGTAGTTGTATCAAATAAATTTCTCAATCCTACATGTGATTCATCCCTTAACTTTGGATATTCAAAAATGATTTTAATATGATTATGAATCATTAGGGACTTATTTTCATATCTTTCGAGTAAAAACTGCCATGCGACATTATAATTTATTGCTGATACCTCAATAGATTGAATTGCTTCAAGAACATCCTTATTCAGAGAACTTCTCAAATAATAGAATTTTTGGATGTCGCTGAGTAACTTATTTTGATCAATTAATGAAATAAACGCATCTTTAAACTGCAACCAGTTGCAATATTTACCATCAAATGGTGGTATAGTTATGGGTGGCAATTTTACTATTGGATTATGATCATTTGAATTATGATTTCTATGTCTAGTTGATTCTACACTACCTTTGCTTGTTTCAGAATTTGTTTCAGAGTCAGTACGTACATTTTTAATAATTAATTTTGCCCGACTACATAAATTATAAAATTTATTTTCAAAATCCTCCTCTTCTTCAAGGAGGCCTGTTTCTTGTTCTTCATTTAAAGAACAAAGTTCACAAATAACATCATTAAATTCAGATAAAATTGGTTCTAAAATTTTCAATCTTTCCTCTAATTCTATAATTATCTCTTCAGTTAAATTATCTTTATTTAAATTATCAAAATAATTATTAAATCGTGTTAATTTAGATTTTAAATTACTCTTTTTAATCTTTAACTTTGATTCGTCAGACATTTCACTGATTCAAATCTAAACACACTTTTTTTTTAAATCTCAGCAATTCTCTTACCTTATTTAATTCCAACTGAAGACCCGTGGTGGAACAATCCAACTGTTAGACAAACAGTCGTTTTCCGATCATCAATGGAGAAACACCAATTCCAATATTCACATTTATTGCGTGAATACCCACTATTTGGCTGGAACTTACATGAATATATCCGGCTCGTAGAGACCAATGTTTATAACTAATGCAATATTAGTTTAATGGACTGTATATTTGAATAAATTTCTTTTATTCGGAGAGAAATTATCTTGAACTAGACAGGATTTTTAATTTATTTGACAAATTTTATGACAATACAATTAATACCAGTTATTTTCCAAATTGCTTGTGGATAACAAATTTGCTGGTACTAATATAATATGTTCAGAAACAATAATATCTAATTTAATCTAAATCTAATTTAACAGGCACGATTCCATTAGAAGTACATAACCGTACAGACGAATCCCTTACCTTGAACTATCATATCGATCAACTCGAAGATAATTGTGATATTTACGAAGAAGATAATTTTGAAATCTTCAACATGGAGCAAATGCTACCTCAATATTCTAACCACTATGTAAATAATCCCTTAAATCTTCTACGAACTGATCACTTAAATAAAGAAGAACTGAATGCTTTACAGCAATTAGTTATGTCCTTCCCCACAATATTTCATAAACCAGACGAAAAACTCTCATTTACCAACCAAGTAAAACACGAAATAAAGACAACAGACGAGATCCCTGTTCATGTAAAAACTTATCGTTACCCCCACGTTCATAAACAAGAGGTTAATGAACAAATTAAGAAAATGATAAATGAAAATATTATCAGACCGTCCTCAAGCCCTTGGTCATTCCCCGTGTGGATAGTCCCCAAGAAATTAGATGCTTCAGGCAAACAAAAATGGCGAATGGTCATTGACTATCGCAAACTAAATGAAAAGACCATTGACGATAGGTATCCTTTGCCAAATATCTCTGACATTTTGGACAAGCTTGGCAGAAGCAACTATTTCACAACCTTGGATCTAGCTTCGGGTTTCCACCATGTGGAAATGCACCCGAGTTCAATTCCTAAAACTGCTTTCAACGTAGAAAACCGGCACTACGAATACACTCGCATGCCCTTTGGCTTAAAAAACGCCCCCGCCACTTTTCAAAGAGTGATGGACAATGTTTTATCCGGATTACAAAACAAAATTTGTTTAGTCTATACGGATGACATCATTGTTTACTCTACTTCTCTCCAAGAACACATCAAAAATTTGAAAAGAATATTCCAAAGATTGGAGCAGTTCAATCTGAAAATTCAACTAGACAAGTCAGAATTTCTGAAGAAAACAGTCGAATTTTTAGGTCATGTCATAACCCCCGAAGGAATTAAACCAAACCCGAAAAAAATTGACGCCATCAAGAAATTTTCAATTCCCAAGACCACCAAAGAGATCAAATCATTCTTAGGATTGATTGGCTACTATCGTAAATTCATCAAAAACTTTGCCAAAATCACCAAAAAGCCAATGACGTTATGTTTAAAAAAGGATAAGAAAATAGTTCACGACTCTGAATTTATTCATAGTTTTGAAACTTGCAAAAATCTTCTCATGAATGACCCTATTTTACAACATCCAGATTTTACCAAACCTTTCCTATTGACTACAGACGCATCTAACTATGCTATTGGCGCTGTACTATCACAAGGACCAATAGGTTCCGACCTTCCTATTGCGTATGCAAGTCGCACACTAAATCCCGCTGAATGCAATTATTCAACGATAGAGAAAGAATTGTTAGCAATAGTATGGGCAACCAAGTATTTTAGACCCTACTTGTTTGGACAAAAATTCACGATACTATCAGACCATAAACCACTCGAATGGTTATTTTCCGTAAAAGACCCTGGCTCTAAGTTAGTCAGATGGAGACTCAAACTAGACGAATTTGATTATACAATCAAGTATAAAAAAGGAACCTTGAATATGAATGCTGATGCATTATCTAGACCCCCTTTACAGATCAATGCCATCTCTCATACGTCAAGCTCACACACCGAATCAGACTCTGACGAAAAATTCCACAAAACCCTAGGAGCAATCCTAAAAGATACCCCTTTAAATAACGACGAAATATTACGAAAATATTTCGAAGGTACTAATCTTTTTATGCCCCAAAAACCGAAATTACCTATCGGAAATGGCAAAGAAATAAGAATAAATGATGAACACGAAAACTAGTCACTTTCAGAATCTACTATATCAGCTGATTCTCCTCGTAACTCACCTCGTGATTCACCTCGTGAAATCACTGTACCACAAAAACCACCACCGAAATTTAAAATACTGTCCCAAATCATCTTACCACCAAGACAAGCTCAAGCAAATCTTCCACAAGATGTACAAAGAATTCCTACGTCACTTGAAAATCCTATTTCACCAAGACGACCTCAGGGAAATTCTCCAGAAGACGCACAAACTATTCATACGTCACTAGAGAATCCTATTTTAGGAGCTCCCTATACCAAAAAACATATCAACCTATTTCCTAATCAAGTAATTTTTAGGTATTCGAATAACAATACCATTCGAAAAGAAATAATCACACATTTTCCGAAGACATTAAAGAAAATTTCAATTTGGAACTCAAGATACCGAAAATAGACATTCCTATTTTTCCCGAAAACATCACGACGGTCAAACTGAAGACAGTAGACCATGAAGCCCTTCAAGAAGCTCTACAAGAAGCTTCGCAACTTGAAGTTCGACCCTTAAAAGAGTTAACCTTTGTAAATAACCATATATCCACTTATGTTATTATTATTTTAATCGTTATTTTCATAATTATTATAACCATTTTTTATTGTAAACATAAATTTAGGAAAAATGTGAAAACTGAGGTTCAAATTGAGTTGCCTAACTTGGTACATCAACCCCAATTTGCAACCACATAAGGTGGTTGCAAATTATATTGGAACTCAATAAAGACCCTTTTGTTCTCCCGAAACAATAATATGTAACTTGCTTATGCTAGCATTTATTTTATTATAAAATACGCTTGCAGCTATTGTTTTCCATTCATTTACTCTCGAGATTTCCTCGCAGTAATTTGTCTCATTTAAATTAAGTTTAAAGTTTTCATTTGTAATACTTAGTTTTGAAAATAAATGTTTTTTAAAAACAAAGTTTACTGAAGTGGAAACTTAATTCATACATGTAAAATAAAAAAGCTACTCAAAATACTTATGTTTTTTTCTTTTAGCATCAAATAAAATTAACATCGGTTTTAGTGTGCGTGTGTGTGTGTGTGATCAATAAAAAACTCGACCTCAAAATCAAAAATCGCAGCTTTTCTCTCGTCGCCTAAATACTCAATATTTGATGGGTATTAAATTGGAGACTCTTTTATGGAAAGCGACATCAAAAGATGTTCGAACGAGGGCCGACCCTTCCAAAAAGAGAACGTTTTTCCATTTATTTTTTCAACGTCAAAGTTTTTCCTCTCTTTGGCTTGTGCCGGTTTCTTTTTGAAGGCAAATTGCGTCCCGATCTGAAAACAATAATTTAAAATGGCGATTAAATTTTTAATCAGAACCCATAAAAATTGTAAATCCGCTCAACTCTAATCCAATCTGGCATTTTCCATATCTGCAACCATAAATTCGTTTTATTTAAAGCGTACAGTCTCGGAACTATAAAACCATTTTTACGACCAAAACAACTCTCGAGATTGCTTTTGCGGCTTCTTGATACATTAAAACCGGTAAAATTTATTTTTGAATTTTCTACTTGTTTTCAGTTACGGATCGCTGATATACGTGGCGACGCAGATCGCCTCGGGAATGAAGTATTTGGAATCCTTGGAGCTGATCCACAGGGACTTGGCCGCCAGGAATTGTGTCGTCGACAAAAATTACACGGTCAAAGTGTCGGACCACGCCATGTATTGTGACCGATACGAGAACGAATATTACATCAGTGATACGAAAGCTAGATTGCCGATTAGGTGGATGTCTTGGGAAGCGTTATTATTGGTAAGTGAATGAGATAAATGATAAATCACACACAAATCAAATCAGAACAAATATGTTTTATTGGCATAAAAATTACAAACTTTAAAATATTAAAAACAAAAAAGAAAAACACTTTTTGATAAAATGTCACCACCAATTACGTTAGTCAAAGTCAACTCTAGACCACTATTACGGTGCCAAAGAATGTTAGTATCATCTGCAAACATTGCTAAGCGGTTATAGATGTCAATGTAAGCAAAATCCTTGACCTAAATCAGAAAAAGGAGGGTCCTCAGAACTGAACCCTGAGGAACACCATTGTTAAAAGAGATACATAACTAACATATATATGAATATAAATATTTTATTATTACTTTAGTTTTAATATTTAGTTAGAACGACATTACGTTAATCATAGTACAAGTGTTAAATTACTTTAACGTTTTTGAGTTTTTGACGTGTAAGAATAGGGTTGTGCCTTGTCTTGCTATATCAGTTGTCTAATAGGCCTGGTGTGGTCGGTTGTTTATTATGAACTAATAAACTTATTGGACTTCAGTCGTTGTTATACTTAATTTTACAAGCCCAAATCATTAATTTCAACAGGTTATGGGCCCAGGCTCGCGATCGTAAAAACGAGATTTTGGTGTTGAAGAAAACAGTATCCGTGTTACGGTATCAAAAGGTCAGGAAAAACGGACAGTATAATAGTTCGCGATATTGTTCGTGTGTATAAAACTCGTGCAGGTCGTTGCGTCGAAAAAAACCCAGTTGGCCGTAAAAACCAAAATGGGCGACCACGCAATTCAAGTGGTGAAATACAATGATAAAAATTGAAAAACTTGGAAATTCCAAGTGCGAGTAACATTGAAAGCCAAGGCATGTTTTGACATTGTAAGTGGAACGAACCACTATTAGGACACCATAGAATGCAGAATAATATGACAGAGAAGATACAAAAACTACACACCTCAGCAGAATGGAAGGTCCGAAAGGGATATGAAAACCATTGTAGAAGCTACAAGGACCATGTTACACAATAAAAATATTTATGTCTTTTTGGGCAGAAGCAGTGAATCGTACTGTATTTACACTGAATAGAGTAGGAAGTAACTACCTTCCAAAAGAATAAGTCACCATTCAGGTTATGCCACAATAAGGATTTTGATTTGACATTCTTCAAGGAGTTTGGTACAAAAGTCAAAGTACATGTACCCAAAGAGAAAAGACTCAAAGTAGAAAAGGTGTTTTTGTGGGATATAATGAAGATGTAAATGGTTATCGAATTTACTTTGAGTACAAAAATAATGTAGAGATGCATAGAGACGTTATTTTTATACCTAAAATTTACCAAGATGAAGTAAACAGTACAGGGTGAGTCGGCCTTAATTACAGGTGATAGGTAAAAGGTGTAAATAGAAAAGTTGTAGCATTTTACCTGAACCGCCAAAATTTTTAATTAGATTCAACAAATTAGATTGAACAAAGTAAAAAAATATGTCAATATTAACTTTTTTCAAATGGAATGCCCTTTATTTTCTTCCAAATTCTTAAAGTTCTCGTTTTTCTGATTCAGATTATATGATGTGTAAATGTTTGTTTCAATAGTTTGTAACGCTCTTTCGTGGAAACAAAAGAATGCTCATAATCTATGCTCGACTATGCTCAGTGGTTGTTTAGCTTGGGGTGGTCCTTAGTGTTGGTACAGTAGAGAGAGGGCGCCACTAGTTTCTATAAATTATTTTAATGAACAAAGAATAGCCAAACTAGACACTATTCCAATAATTAGTTATTGTTTGAAAAGATAAATGCAAAAATCTAAAAAGGAAAATAAATCTAATAGCTATCTGACATTTAACCCATTCAATAAAAACACAAGTTGTGGGATTCCAAAAACAACAATTTACTAACCAAATGTCGAACCTATTGTTCATTAGAAAATTTGTTGACAGGATGGCGAACTTGTTCAATTGTTCAAAGGAGAATATTGTTCAGTATCCAAATTTTTTTGAAAAAAAGTCAAGCAGCTTTCCAAAAGCAAAACCCAATTTAAACAGGCATATATATAAAAAGATTGAAATTCAAAAACAACCTAATAAATATTTACAATGAATATCACCAAAGTGAAAATATTGAAGTGAAAATACAATTAACCTTCAATTTTTTGACTCAAAGTCAATCAAATCAATAGAAAACAATTTAATCAATGCAGGAAGGTAACAAACAATCCCCAGGCAGTTACAAACATCAAAAACCTGCTAAATGAAATCAAGGGTTCACGGTTTCCGGAAGAGCTCTTACCTTCCTACCTCTAAAGTTCAAAGTAGGTAACCATAAAACTTAAATTTGACTATCTAAAGATTTTACATTAGTTTACCTTGTAAAACCTCCACATTATTGATTCGAAATCAAAAGTTAAACCAACCCTTCAAGGGTTAATGAACCCACCTATATTATATCGATCAGTACTCGATATAAAGGAAATAAAATTTATAATAATTGTAATAATGCATACTTATTGAAAATAAATAATTATTGAGAAAACACTAATAAAAGTAAAGATCTGATTATGATAATGATTAATTTATTAAATTAATAATTATATTTAAACTGTAGTTAGCTATTCTAGCCAAATACTACTATACGGTAAACGAGTCGGTAATTGATTTTATTTGTCACTCATTTGTAAAACGTCACTTATCAAGTCAAAACATAACCAGCGAAAATTGATTTTTACAAGCTACTGGCTCTACTGACTTGTAAAATTGACAGCTAAACTGTAAAAACTTTTTACAAGTCAGTAGAATTATTTATTTTTGAAAAATCGGTTTTATCACAAGAATAATTGCTTGTAGGTACCTTCTGGGAGACTTTTCTGGTGATAAACTGTTGGCTACGACTGAGGCTTCATTAATAATATCTTGTAATAAATTCATTTCTGGAAAAAAATTGCAAAATGGAAATCTGTCAAAAAACCTATTTATAACTAGAAACAACGTCTTAACAACGTATCATTCTCATAGTTATACCAACTACCAACACTTCTGTGAGAAAAAATCAAGGAAAAACATATAAATTTCAAATTTTTGTTATGTATTGATTTTTTATTTGTCCCTATATCTTTTACAAATGAGTAACAAATAAATTATTGTACATTATACGCCAGGTAGCAGTTTTTACTGGCTCTTGAAGGTGACAAGCTCGCCTGGCGGCTCGCTAGTCATTTCCTTCAATCGCCAGTAAAAACTGTTTTACCTGGCTAATAATGTAAAATACTATTACAAAGATATTAATTAGCTGATGGAGCTAAACGATAAGGGACGATAAAGAAAAGGTAAGTTACGTTAATTAATATAGCACATTTAAGAGAGCCATAGGTAAATAATTATACAAGCCTGGACGGAATCCTTGGACGTTTTCACAAATTTGAGATCTAGAAGTACCAAACTGGCTAGAGGCATCCAAATAATGGTTGGGGATCAACTTCTTATAGGTCACCAACCTTCCTTGGAAAGGGGGCCCAGATTTACTCTGAAATGCAGAACAGCATGGTCGCAAATTCGTCAATTTTCACTCAGAAGTGCAGGCGCGGATTTTTCGTCCTGCCCAAAGTGCCTGAATGAATTTAGGGAATATAAGGACTCATTCATCAGAGAGAAAAAGGAATTCACATACCTGTACGGACGATAGTAACCTCACTTTCCAAAATGCATGACAAACGATAAAATGTATATTATCAAAACAAAAGGTAAATTGATTTGGTAAAGCAGAAAAAAAATTTATACATTTCATGACACTGAGGTGTTAAAATCATTCAATTGAAGCAAGAAAACTTTACTATAAAATAAGGACGAAAATGGGGTATTTTTATGGGACTATAGGTATAAGGACAAGATTTTCCTCGGAGTGAGAAATGAGAAAAATCAAGAGCTCGCGAAGGCAGGAGCGCTGTGTTCCTCAACAGTTTTTTCTTTGCCGGGATCGCTAGAAAGTACTGTCCGCTACCTATTGTTATTTTAAAAGAAAATTAAAATCCGGAATTATTAATGAAATGCCGAGAGAAATGCGAAATTAAATTTCCAGGGAAAATATCAAAAGTCATTAAGTATGTTATAATGTTAATTATTAAAGAAAATGTTCAGAGAAAGAGAAAACAAAAATTTAACCTAAAAAAAAAAAACTTGTGTAATCATGAAACAGCCAATGTCATATTTTTAAAGATAGTTAAAGATAGTTTACTCTAAACTGTCCAAGAATTTGGGCTAAGTTAAACGTTGCTCAAGGCCCCATTAACGTTGGTCGCCAATTTATGTGACGCTCTTTTGTCGAAACAATTAATGCTTATAATCTATGCTCGACTATGCTCAGTGGTTATTTAGCTTGGGGTGGTCCTTTGTGTTGGTACAGTAGAAAGAGGGCGCCACTAGTTTGTATAAATTATATTGATTACAAAAAAAATAGCCAAACCAGAAACTATTCCAACAATTAGCCATTATTCAAAAAGATAAATGCAAAAATCTGAAAAGGTAAAAAAAATCCAATACCTATCTGACATTTAACCCATTCAATAAAAACACAAGTTGTGGGATTCCAAAAACAACAATTTACTAACCAAATGTCAAACCTATTGTTCATTAGAAAATTTGTTGACAGGATGGCAAACTTGTTCAATTGTTCAAAGGAGAATATTGTTCAGTATCCAAATTTTTTTTGAAAAAAAGTCAAGCAGCTTTCCAAAAGCAAAACCCAATTTAAACAGGCATATATATAAAAAGATTGAAATTCGAAAACAACCAAATAGATATTCACAATGAATATCACCCAAGTAAAAATATTGAAGTGAAAATACAATTAACCTTCAATTTTTTGACTCAAAGTCAATCAAATCAATAGAAAACAATTTAATCAATGCAGAAAGGTAATAAACAATCCCCAGGCAGTTACAAACATCAAAAACCTGCTAAATGAAATCAAGGGTTCACGGTTTCCGGAAGAGCTCTTACCTTCCTACCTCTAAAGTT